AGAGAAATGGCCTTTGGGGATATTATTTAGAAGAGATTTCAGACTTTGATTTCCCAGGCAGGAAGATGGCAAATCAGCCAATGTGACTCCTTGGTTCTTGAGAAAGAGGCGAACCACATTTTCCTAAAGCTTCCTGTAGCCAAAGTCATTGAACTGACTCTACTACAGTAAAAAAAGCATAAGGCAGGAAAATGGGGAGGTCGGCACAAAAAGCAAGGCTGGAAATCCCATGACTCCACGCTGAACAGCTGGACATTTCTGCGTCGCTCTCTCAGAAGTACGAGAATCCCCCTTGGCATCACATGCCTTTGCTCAGTCCCAAGGGAAGGAGAAGGCTCTAATCAGCTTCCCGAGCCCCATGCGAAAAAAAGATCACACTGGGTGCAAAAGTCATTATGCACGTAGTAATAAAATGACCTATATATTGACACAAGCACTGTACATAAAGAAAAAAAAGGAAGCTTGCCCCGGTTATACAATACAACATAGGGAGACTGGCAGAAAGTAAACAAGCTGCGCTGCTGTTCTTTATGCCATGAATTAAAACCTGAGTTAGGTGAGATGCATGCCCTGGCTGGCAGCGGTGGGGCACATGCAGGCAGAAGCAGGGGCAGCGGCAGCGCTGGCCCCAGCCCGGCACCGGCAGCTGGTTGGTAGCGTGGGAAGGAGCTACAGCGGTAGCTGGAGCTGCGGGAGCAGCGGGAAATACAAATTAAGCCTAAGACTGATGGGCAGCAGAAATGGGGCTGGGCAGAGACCGGGAAGGAAAAGAGGAGCTAAGGGAGGGGTAAGTCTGCTTTGACAAGCTACACCTGAGACCTCATTTCAGGATGCTGCCTGCTGCCACCTGCATAGGTTCTGCAGAAATAACTCCTGTTTTTAGCTTGCCTAGCTGAAGATTTACTTTTTCAGTGTGAATTCACTTTGTTTCTGCAATATAACTGCCCTTTTCTCTCCCCACAGCTTCCCCCCTGCCATTTAGAACACTTCAAAATAAATAACCTACTCCTTGGAAACAGAAATTCATTGCTCCATTTCTTCCTCAGTACAGTACACATAGCAGGGAAAACAGACCTTTTAAATTTCCCCAATAGTCTGGAAATTTGGTGTGGAAACACGGGAGTACCCATTTTCTCTTCCCCCATCTGCTTCTCAGCTAACCTGTGGAGCTCGCTGCCGTGACACGTTGTCAAAAGCAAATACATGCCGGGATTCAGAATTGAACTGAATATGCAAATGAACACGCGTGCACACACACACGCACCAATATATAATTGCATACATATTTATATATAAACAGTAACTATTTTTAAAAAGCACAATAACATCATCAAAGCCATCTCGGGAACCACGGCACTCTTCGTTTGCCATAGGCAGACCAGACTCTGCCTGGTCTTCCATAGGCCCCTCCAGTGGCCTGTGTCAGCTCAAATCCCAAATCCCAAGCAAGCGGCATTGGTGAGGGTGCTGGAAACACAGCAGATGACAACAACAGCCTAATGGTTAGTGGTGGAGGAGAAGAGGAATAAGTAAACACAAGCAAAGTATGTGAGTCGCTTTATTAAAAGCATACCCATCGGGCTGCTCCTGCTACCTACAGTGGCCAATAAATTCCCTCTGTCCTAATACACTCGAAATGCCAGGATGCATTATTCAGCACATGAGTATTTCACCACATTCTTTCAGATAATAGTCAGTTGTTGAGCCGGACTCTCTTTCATGAAGGTCAACAGCAACACCATGACTGTGGTTGTAGAGCACGGCAGGGCCTTGTGGCACCGTATCGATCAGATGAAAACAAGGATCCATGCAGGGATCCTGTGTAATGAAGGCCGCAAGGTTCCCATGTGGGCATAGAGGCACTTCTGCGGAGGATCAGGGCCTAAAGTCACGTTGAAAACCACAGGAAGGAACTCAGCACCCAGTCAAGAGGAGGACTAGGTGTTCACGTGGCCACCAGAAAAGCCAGTTGGCCAACTGGAGTTTCCCTCTTTGTGTGGAATGATAATTCGGGGGCTGAAGGATAATTGGAGAGTTGAATTTGAGGGTGGCCTCAGTACGTTGGGGGACTCTGCACCCACTGCTTTAAACGAACCGTGCGGGGGCTACGCTGACACTACTTTTTCTTGCAGGCTTTGAGATCAGCCATGCTGTTGAACTACTGTATTAATACCGTGCGTTGCGGATGCGGCACTCGCCGGTGAAGAAAGCTCCTCTACCTTTGGTTTTGTAATGTATTCTGGTGCATGGGTCTGCTGTGCCTGTCTCTGTTTGTATTAGGTTAAACGCTGCTGAAGTAGATGGGCCTAATTATGGCCTTTCATTCAAGATTAATATGAAGCCATTAAGCTGGTTTATGCAACCAGGTAGCTGAGCAATAGAAACATCTAAAACAAGTATGAGGCAATGGCGGAGGCTGAAACCATGCAATCAGCGGGCTTTCGTTGTGAAAAGGCATGCGAAACGCAGAAGCGACCGCTGCCTTCACCTACGGACTTGAGACAAAACACAGGACGCGAGAAGATTCGCCGCGGAAGACTAGAAAGAGCTACCAAACCCACCACTGGTCCGACCCCAAATCGGCCGTGAGTTACGCAGGCGGAGCAAAACAGGGAGGCTTGCGGCTCCGAGCACCCCACGATGCCGCTGGTATTCACTTCGCCCTGTGCTCCGGAAAATAAGCTCTGGTAGCTCTGTTTTGCAGTGACGGCACATGAGTGATTACCCAATCCATTGCCAGCTTCACCTCCGAGCAGAAACGCTCCAAAGAAACTCAGCTGTTTTTCTAATGGCTGAATCAGAAAAGGGTAATGCAGCAGCAATGCTGCTGGGAGTTCTCTGTATTCTCCAAAACATCGCTCTTACGTACATTTGCCGTTGTGCGGAGTTGGGTGAGACGCAGGCAGATTTTCTTGGTAATTAACCAGGAGTTCATTGACTTTGTTAATGCTATCCTAGGTATTTTTTAAAAGGAGGGAATAGTTGATGTATGGGAGAGGCTAATTAAGAGAGAAAAATCAATTAAAGAAAAATCAAATTTAGGTTGTAAGTTAAGAACAGAGAAATTTGAGAAAGGATTTAGGAGCCAGAGTTTACGAGACAACAATTGAATTTTGAATAAATTGATAGTTGATTTACTTGGATTATTATGATCTGGAACAGTAAATGAAATTTAAACTGAATCTTTTATTGGTTTTAAGATCAATTTCTTTAAAAAAGCTCAGTGTGCCCATTTGCTTCACGCATGGAGGAATGGACGAGGAGACTGATGTAACCCCAGATCTGAACGTACACATCGACTGGAATTTTTCAGTTGGACTGTACTTCCATCTTCCAAGGGAAAAATACTGAAAAGGAGACATTGCTTGGGGGGACCACTGCATAGCGCTGCTATGGGACCTTCCTGTCTTTCTAGGGCATGAAAGGAACTTTTGGGGGAGAAAGTTCTTTTGGGCAACATTGTAGACGAGAGTGAATAGGTTTTACCTGTTCTGAAACTGGGGGAGAATTTGTATAGTTCTTCTATGTACCCAACGGGTGACTCTAATTTACAATCATGCTGCTGTGGAAGGACTTTTGCAACCATTTTCAGGCTACTGTACGCTCCCTTTAAAGTTCTGATGGCAGAAAAGCACCATGAAGTACTTATCCCTTCACATTTATTATTTTCATCAGGGCAAAATGCAGAAGTGCCAGGTACTTTCCAAAGAGACAATCCCTGCTATGAAGAACAGACATTCTTAGCTTAATATTGCTATGACTTCCAGTTCCCAATGCAAAAACACAAAACTTCCATTGTCAGGAGCTAAAGAGAGCACATGCACGCACACACACACATTAGGCACTTTGTTTTATTTTGAAAAAAAAAAAAAAAAAAAAAAGTCTTTATATATAAACCATTTCATTCTCTCTCAAAACATTCTACAACTATACAGCTGTTTGCTCCGTCATTTGCATAGGAAATACCACAATACAAAAATAAGGTAGGGGGGAGACAAAAGAAGCAAAACAGCAACCAATTTATGCATGTGTTTCCACGTATAAACATTTGAAGCCTTACAAAATTATTTACATCATTTGTCAACTATTTACATTAAGAGCAACATTTCTAACTATAAGAAACAAAACTATAATTTATCAAGTATATGTAAAATTGTCTTAAAAAAAAAGGAGTCTATCATATACCACAAATAAATAAAGACAAAGAACAGTTTTAACAAAGCTAGGTTTTCCTGCAGGACCCTTTTTTTGGTATTTTGATTGTCTATTTTAGCCTTTGGTTGACAGCTTAATATTACGGCTTGTGAAGTCCAGACACTTATTAGGTTTGTTTGGTTTTCTCCTGTTGCCTGGCCAAATCCTACACGGTCTAACCTCATCTTTGGCCCTTCATCTACTATTTCAAGGCTGAACACTGTGGATCAAAGTCATCGTTAGCATAAAAGGGCGCCACTTCATCGACGTCAGTGGAGTTTCAGCTACTTTTGTCAGCAGTAAATTTTCCCCGGCGTGTGTCAATCTGAAGAGTGGATTAACTAAACTGCACTGTAATTTTAAACAAAATTACTGTATCCTTTACCTTCTGGTAAATTACATGCAATATCCACATGAAACTAGATCATACTGGTGCTGAACCAGCTTAACATGTCTGTATATGAAAATTGCATCCCAAATCCTTCTTTTTAAAGTGATACTAAGTTTAGCTTATAGTAAGAGGTTTAACATTCTGTGTTCCTTGTAACTATCCCCGTTATTTAAGCTTCCAACATTGACTTTCCAGTTCATTCTAAATGTTTTGCCCTTTTAAGCAATTTGAAAACAAAATCCTGCTTTGAATATTCAGTGCACGCTGTTTGAGTTAACAGGTACAAAACATCTGAATGCTTAGCTCATTTCTCTTGAGAAAAATGAAGCTAAGTTGGTACTGTTTTGAGAGGTATTGAAATAACTTTTTTTGTAAATGTGCCGTGTTATAAAATGTAAAACAACTGCTTTTTTCAGACGATTCTTAGAAAACTTTTGTATTAAACCTAAAAAGCTGATTTGCATATCTACAAAATCTTTGTCATAGCAAACATGCAACGTACAGAACAAAATGTTTTGTTCTATGGCTGTTCATGAATTTTTCTATGTACTTTATCTCCACAGAACGACCTAACATTTAAAAAAACCCCACAAGTACTAAATACGTCCAGTAAAAACCTGACAGATTAGAATTCATGGCTTTTCCACTGAGTTCATTCATCTGCAGCCTCTCGTTAATTCGTTTACTAAACATTGTCACAATGATGACAGTGCTTTGGTCAAAACACCGCAAGAGAAAAAAAAAATGTATAGAGCTGCAATGTGTCAAGACATAATACTTGTAAAGAGATGAAACCTGCTGACTAAAGCCATATACATCATGAGAGCAAACAAACGACCGAACACTCTGGTATTGTGATACAGTGTCTTCCCTTTTTTCTGCATAAATATACAAAATATACATTTCCAGTTTCCTTTGAGATTTCTTTTAAATGGATAACCCATACTCAAAAATTAAACTAATTTTAGTTGTATGTCGAGAGTCAATAGGAAATTGCATAGATACAAAACAGCCTCAACGACAAGTCCAGCTTTTAGTTCTGATGCCTCTTCATGTGGAGAGCCAGGTGATCGGAGCGGGAGAAGCTGCGGTTGCAGACGGCGCACTGGAAGGGCTTTGCCCCCGTGTGCTTCCTGTAGTGGCGCGTTAATTCATCCGAGCGAGCGAATCTCCAGTCGCAGCCTTCCCACGTGCACTTGTATGGTTTCTCACCTGAAAGAAAGCACAGAGAAATGAGACTGTCAGCTGTCACTCTTCGGGAGAAAACTGATGTGGTATCACATTGAACAGCTATGCTGTTCAATTTAAAGAAGAAATAAACGACAAAACAGGAGCTGAGGTTTCTTAATTATTCTCAGCTCTATTCAACAGGCCCCAAACTAACAGCCCCTTTGTTTTTTCAGCGAATTGTGCTCTTCAATCTGTGATTTAATACCTTGGTAAAACGTAGGAAACTTTCAAACATACAAATTGGAGACAGCTACGCTACAGAAATGCACAGAGGTAAAAAAAACTGCATGAGACTGAAATACACTTCCTTACACTCATCTCAATAGGAGAGGGAGTACGGAAAAAAAAGCAGTCTCACATGACAATATGGCCTAGTTTGTAACTTATGCTTGCACCTTTTAAAAATGGGTAAATTAAGTTATACACAGGGTTTTTTAAGAGGTCTGAAATGGGAAGGAAGATTCCTATAAAGATTCTTTGTAGCGTGCAGATCTGTTCAAGAACTTCTGATGTGTGAAGAAAGAAAGGGGCACAGTGTGTTACAAACACAAGGGGGATAGTATTTTCTAAAATGGCAGGGGCAATAAAAACTTGCGGTATCCTGGTTTGGGTTAGCTATATTTAGGAGAATCATAGAATCATACAAAAGCATAGAGAAAGCACCTAAAAGATCAAAGCACCTGTTTTCAGAATTGAATGTCTACAATGAGGTGCTTAAATAGTCGTATTTTAGAGGTGGCGAATGCTTGCTGTCTCCATCAGTCTATACTGACGTAGAGGGAGCATGGCGTCTCTGAAAACTTGCTGTGTTACAGCAGCTCTGAATACAACTTCAAAGAATCCTGCTAGTCTTGAATACACCAGCCCAAGCACCCAAATTATTTGCATTCATCCATTTTAGAACTGTAAATGGGGTATTCTAAGCACGCCTATAATTTATAGATTTGTTTGTTGAAATGGGAGAAACATGAAGCCACAAAGCCAAGATGACTTCTGTGCAAAACCAGAACTTTAAGCATGTATGTACACCTGCTCGGGAGCTGGTATGGACATGATGTCACCACGCGAGCAAGCTTTGTATAAATAAAGAGGCTAAGAATACCTATTTATAAGCTATTTGTTAACATTGGTTGACAAAAACACCTTTCAGTTGGGAGAGTCGATTGCTATCTATACCTTTTATATTAACTTGACCCATGTGGCAAAAAGAGAAAGAAAACCGGGTTTATCAAAGCACTTGGCAGTAGCTTCATCTGGAGCAGGATCAGACCAAGGCTGAGCTTTCCAGAAAGTCCTTTCCAACACATCTTACAGATGTTCTCCCTCTCCATCGGTCTCACACCTTTACCCTCGCAGTCTCAATCCTACAGCACTGTGGAGTGACTCCTACTTCTCCCTGTTTTACCATCACACGAGCACGCAGAAGAAGGACAAAAGCCAGTATCCTGCAATCAGACTTTGTCCCGTACCAGCTATGCAGAGAACACCATTTGAGAAACCCAAAACCATTACTTCAGAGATGCTAATTTTTCATTTAGATGAAATTATGAAACTGTTTTTGTCTGGGAGCTTCTACTGCTTCTTCTCATCAACTAACTAGTAACTTTCCATCTCCTACTAAGAGCAGAATCAGCCCTTTGCTCACAATGTGGATGTGACTTCATGCTGGCAGCACAGTCACAACCAGAACCAGACCTCTACAAGGAAAACTAACGACCCAGCCAAACCACCACCTCTTTGCATAAATGGTGACCGGGATTTATTGAAATCACAGTGGAAACATATCATCCCTTAAGAAAAACAAACTTAGAGCCTGGCATCACCTCTCAGAGTTTGAAATTATTTGGTGGATGGCAAAACAGAACACAAATTATTACAAATTTCTGTCATAGCTGAATTTACTCTGCCTGATGCTGACTGAAGACTGGAATGATCTACTGTAGAGGACTCTTTTTTTTGCTTCATGCAACATATACTACAGGTTAAAATAAGATTTCATTCAAACCCGCTGCGTAAAGCTTTTCTAACATCTGACAAGCCAGTTGAAATTACACATTTGGTCTTCACGGCAGAATGACAGGAAAGGTCTCTATTCAGTGAGGGATCTTTTGCAGTATATACATCATCTTTAATGTATTTAAACTGGGTTATTAATGCAATCTGTAAAAGACTGCATTGCTGATCCGTAGGCATAGCACCAGGGAGATCTTCCATGAACACTTTGTGTTAAAACACACATGCACACACGGAGGCTGCACAAAAGCATTACTCCTGCATTCGAAGCACCTTACTGTAAAGCCAGTGTATTTCTTTCTTTTTCTCCTTTCCTTCTCTTTTTCCCCCATATTAGCTTCAAACTCTTTTTTAAAAACCTTCACTTAAAACTGTCATATTATACTTGATGCTAAACTCCCAATCTTGTGATCCTCCCACTCTAACTGCCCAGAGAGAGCATATATATGGTCATATATTTAACTGCTGCCTCTGTATACTCCAAACACTTGCTTACCCATTTTGCAGAATTATACGGGGAATGAGAGAAATGGTAAAGAGGTCAGGCAGATAGCACTTGTTGAACAAAAGCCTAGGAGTACCCAGACCAAACCAGACAGGAATGGGGACCAGGAGATTAAAATCAGTTTCCAAACTTGGCGTCAAGGAGGTATTGAGTATGTGAAACTTCACTGTGTGTCACACTACACTGTACTGGAAAAGCAGGCTCAAAGTTGTCCCACGTAGGTGGTACCTGGGCCAGTCTGAGTCCAAACAAAACTGCTGCCCCCCGTTAAAACTTTTTCTAACCTGCGAGCAGCACCAGCAGGCGATATGAGTCTCCTGGCATACGGACTGCCAGCAGTCGGGGCAGCGGTGAACCCTGTGCCTTGCTGGGCGCCACAGCTTCCATGTCAGCGCTGAATCACAGAATCATGGAATGCTTTGGGTTGGAAGGGACCCCCAGAGGTCACCTAGCCCAACCCCCCTGCAGTGAGCAGGGACAGCTTTAACCAGATCAGGTTGCTCAGAGCCCCATCCAACCTCACCTGGAATGTTGCCAGGGATGGGGCCTCTACCACCTCTCTGGGCAACCTCTTCCAGTGCCTCACCACCCTCATTGTAAAAAACTTCTTTCTTATGTCTCGTCTAGAATCCAGTGGCCAGACCCCCATCACACTCCAGGGGACGCAGCTTCCCAGAGGCATTATCTAGAAATTTACCCCCCATTGTCATGGTCACTTTGCTGCCTGCCACAGCCATGAACCCTCCCCAGCACTGGCATTGCTCAGGGGAAAAGCTAGGCAGTGCCATGCGGAACAGCATGGCTCCTCCTTGCCGGCTGACTTCTGCAGACCTGAGCTAAACTGAGCAGTGTTCAGGGGATGCGCAGAGGGGAATGAGCTGGTGCCTTACACAGATTGTTTTAACAGTGTTACTTTTATGTACTGGAAATTAAAGCCAGAACGCTGCTTTTAACCCCTGCTTTGGCCAAAAGTGAGAACTGGAAAATGTATTTTTAGCGCCAATGTAGAGGCCTGGATTATTTTGAATAAATCCTAGGGGTAAAATACTGAATATCTATGTTTGTAATGCTAGCTTCCGTTGGAAAGTTCTATTTAAGAACTGAATCAATTTCAAATGTTTTCCTTTTGGGCAAGGAGGAAGGGGGGCAAGAAAAAGAAGGTGGAGATTATTTTCACTCCTTTAAAGAAAGCAGAACAACTAGCTGGTAGTATTTTCTCCCTCTCAACCTATACACATACTTTTTGTCATTTAGCAGAAATAAGAATTTGGTTTAAGTTCCTGTAGCAAGGAAAAAAGAGCCTCACGTTACATATTTTCTGAAGTGATCCTACTTCTTTGCTACGCTGACTTTAAAGCACTGAAAAATCCGGGGTTGAAGATTTATTTTTAAAAAAAAGCAGGTATACACAACAAGGGACACTGAACCCTTTATCCAGTGTTTTCATTGGCTACATAGTAATGTAAGATTTGTTTACTTTAATGATTGTGTGAAATACAGTAGCTGTAAAGTTTCAGAAATATTTGGTTTTCCTCCAGCAATTTAGGGCTTCTATAGGGTGTTAAACCAAGAATGCCACTGGTCATCAAATACGAAGGCAGTATGGCTCGGTTACTGGAACACGATCATGGTATCAAACAGATATTTCACTGTAAAAGCAAGAAAACAGCTAACTCCTCCACTTCAGGGGAGCTTCCACGGGATTTGTTAGAATGTCAACACTGTTCAACTAAAACACCATGGAGGAAGCTGGTACCGATTTCCAGCCAAATAGCACACTCCAACCCTTTCTTCCCAAGCCAGAAATATTATACACAGCACTTCTGGGAAACAGAACTGCTTTCCTTTAAATTATACTTCAACAGGATAGGGATTTCATAAGTTTAATTGGATTTCTGCATAACCTCCTTCCAATATCACTGATTTAAAATATTTTGCTAGGCTTATACATCACAAAATATATTTTTAAGTTCTTCAGCTGCTAATATGCATCCATTCTCCAGTTTAAAAAAAATACATTTGTGAAGCATGAGAAACAGACTTGTACTTGAGCGCAGAAATTTTAAGCCCTAATATTTAGTTTGGAAGCTCTTTTACAGAAAGCACCTAGCAAGAGATAAGGGAGTTTAACCTGAAAGGAGACTATTTTGCTTGCAGTGTGTCTGTCTGTTAAAAAAAAAATATTTATAATGCTGTGAGATTGCAAGGATGTCAAAAAGATGTCTGGATAGCCACGTATAACATGCTAACCTAACCAGACACTTCAGCAGATAAACTACCCCGAGGCAGATCCCAAGGTTCAGGATCCTTGCCGATACCACAAGAGAATGGTCTGGACCAGTGAGGCACACCGTGTTGGCTCTTCTCCCTTTAATTTATCTTCCTGGGATTTAGCAATTTTGAAATACACTGATTGCTTTCCTAACATTAATTCTAACCACTGGCAGTGACTGTCGTGGCCACG